AAAAGCCCGTATAAGGTTTTGGTTCAATTCCAGAAGTTAGAAGGTGCTTATCAGCTAATAAACTGTAAAAAGATTTTAGATTTGGGTAATCATTGTCGTCGTATTGTGAATGAGACACACTTATCTTTTGGAGTTGTAAAAGGAATTGATATAGGAATTGAAGAACCAGAAATTTTAGAAAATTTGACCTCATCATGTGAAATTTCGTCTGTGAAAAGACTCAAACGCTTAGATATAAATGGTAATCGGACAGACATCGAAACATTTCGTTTGACATTCAAAAGTGTACAACCGCCTTGATATGTGTATGGATATGGATGCAGATTCAAGGTCGAAATCTATCACTTTCCAGTCACGCAATGTTCTGGATGCTGGAGTTTTGGACATTACGTAAAATTTTGTCCCGAATAAAAAGATTTTATGTCCTAAGTGTGTAGACAGATATACAAATTGCGAAACTATTGAATACAAATGTGTAAACTGCAAAGGCCCACATATGGCACTTGATAAAGCATGCCCTATTTTTATTAACGAAAAGAGTAACATCATGAGTCAACAACATTTTAACTACAGAAAAGCACTGGATATTTACTTAAAATAGACAAAACAAACTATGGATAGCCCAACATCTATGAATAAAGTACAAAAGGCTGATAAAGTACCAAGTGCTGATTATACGAAATCATATAGAGATATACTTCTAACAAATAACTACATAAATCAAAACTTATCAGATACCGAAAGTGGAGAAGAGGATACCAGAAAAGAACAAGCAACTTACAAAAACATTAAAAATAAACATATTAAAAAAGTTCCTAATTATACTCGTAACGTTAAACATTCAAAGCAAAAAAAGTCCATTGTTGCAACCGAGTCAGCTACATTAAATAATGAAGAAGTGACAAGAATGGAAACTGACGCATGTACAGAAAAACAAGAGGAGAAACAAAAGATATCTAAGATATGGGTAATTATTAAAAGGGTAAAAGAAATTCTGTTCTCTGAAAGCAAAGTAGAAGAAAAGATTCTCGATATTGTTAAGTTAGTAACTGGAGAGTTGAAAATAATCTTTATGAAACTTATAATGGAAAAAGAAATATTAAATAAACTTTTAAATGCAATTAATGGATAACACATCAAAGGATTTTACGCTGTCTATACTCCAGTGGAATACACAAAGTATTAAGCCCAAAATAGTTAATTTTGAATCCCTGTTGATACAAGAAAAAATACATATAGCAATTGTGAGTGAAACGTGGTTGGCTGAGAGCTCGCCTCTAGGAATGAAGTGAATATAACATTTTTGGGAAAGATAAATACGGCTCATATGGTGGTGTGGCTATAATGACACATAAATCAATTAAGGCGCATCAATATTCAATAAGTACAAGCAATACTGGTTTAGAAGTAGTTTATGTCAAAATCTTCAATTGTAAGTATCTTGAAAATGTTTTATCTATTTACTGCCCATCTTCTGTTAGAACATCTTCAACTGACTGGAATAACATATTCGCCCTTTTCCCACGCAAATGTGTCATTGGAGGAGATTTTAATGCGCATCACGCCAACTGGTCTAATAAAATTGACACCAGAGGGGCACAATTATTGAGTTCTTGGATTTCGGTTTCATATCAACAAATAACGGAGAAGCTACCAGAATTAAACTTGTAAATGGTTGTCATCAAAAATATTCACCTGATATAACATTTGTGTCTTCCGATATTGCTATATACTTTAATTGGCACATAACTAACGAAAATCTTGTTAGTGATCATTTGATTATTAAATCTTACATTAAATTCAAAGACGTCCTACGTTATGTTCGAAAAAGAAAATTCTCATCAGCTGATTGGTCCTCTTATAAAAGAGATCTTGAAGCTTCATTTCAAAACCCTGTATGGACAGGTGATGATGTACAAAGTATGTATAACCACTTTGAAAAAGAGATTAATAAAGCAGCAAATGAACATATTCCTATAACTAAAATCGGTATTGACCCAGAAAAATATTTTAAATCAAAAGTGTATTGGAACTCATCTTTATCAAAAATAGTTGCGCAACGCAGGCTAGCCTTAAAAAATTTTAGAAGAAATCCAACACCTTTTAACCTTACTAAGTTACAAGAAAAAGTGGCAGAAAGCCGAAAATGATTAGAGAAGCTAAATTTAATAATTTGAAAAAAATTCTGCAATAGTTTTGATGAAACTACAAATACATCTGTTTTATGGAATAAAATGCGTTGGGTAAAGGAACTTAAGTCTAACAAATTCTATCCTACTGAAGAAAAGCTGAAAGATCTATTAAATAATCTTGCTCCTATCCTTGCTCCTTGCTTAAATTCACTATTCAGGAGTTTCAAAATTGCTTAAAGAAGAAAGATACATCCCCCGGATTCGATGACTCTTCTTATTCTATGATTTACAATTTACCTGATGTTACCAAACAGTATTTATTATATTTATTTAACATAATCTTATCAACGGGATAGATTATTAACATACCTATGCAATGGCGAAATATTAAAATTATTCCTATACCTAAGCTAGGCAATAAGGATAAATTAAGGCCTATATCGCTAATGTCCTGTATTTGTAAGATATTTCATGCTCTTATAACGAAAAGATTAGAATGGTACATAGAACACAACAAGATATTATCCCCTTTCACCAGTGGGTTTCGCAGATCTCAATCGTGCTTGGATTGTTTAGTATGCTTAGACATATTCAGCTAGGTTTTTCAAGAAATATACCTACTGTCACCTGCTTTATTGACATAGAGAACGCTTATAATAATGTCCCAATTGATAAATTAGTTAATGTTATTGACAGACTTCGGGTTGGTTCAAAATTTTGTAAATATATTTGGTCTTTTTTAACCGAAAGATTAATCTTGTTATAGATAGGGAACCACATAAAGGGGAATTGAAAAGATGGGCCAGTAAGGGTTTGGCGCAGGGTGATCCTCTATCTCCCTTGGTATTTAACATTATTACACATGATATATGTAGACAAATACAAAATGTATCTATCGCTTAATATGCAGATGATTTTGTAATCTATTCGAGTTCAAAAAATCTTAAGGACTGTGAGTATAACATTCAGAATGCTTTAAACTTTATAATTACTTCACTTAATAAAATTGGCTTAGATATTTCTATCGCCAAGACTAAGCTTATGATTTTTAGTAGAGGTTTTAGACGTCAGGAAATTAAATTAGAACTATATAGAAAGAGAATAGTTGAGACAGCAAAATGCGACATTTGGATATTTGGTTGGACCGGTCATTAAGATGGTTTAAACACATTAATGAAATTAGCCAAAAGATATTAAAATTTGTAAATGCCCAATAAAATGCCCCAACCATGCCCTATTAATATTAAAAGTATTAACAGGGCATGGTTGGGGTATCCATCTGCAGCATTTACGTAGGTACATCTAGGTAGTGATTTCGGGTTGGTGCTAATAGAAACATTTGTAAATTAGATAAAATCCAAAAGCATGCACTTTGTATTATAGGAGGTTTTATTAAAAGTACACCAATACACGTTATGGAAAGTGAATTAAATATAACGCCTCTATATATTAGAAGAAAATTTTTAGCATATAAATACTGTCAGGTACTGTAAGGTAAATCTAGAACTAATAATACTACTATTAAACTATTAACAGAACTCAGCCTATTCTGTCAAGATAGGTACTGGCAAAATAAAAAGATACCACTTCTAGCAATTACATTAGAACAAGTTAATATTATGTGTATTCTTCGGATCCACTAGATATGTTATCTTTAAATACTTGGTTATCAAGTATCAATGTTAAAATCGTAATTAAACAGGACTTAAATTGTATCAGGGGTACTAAAAAATGTCAGGAGATAAATACTTTAAAGTCGAATGTAATAAATGAATTAAATGTTAATTAAATTATCAAACAAAATTTTCTGTGATGGATCCAAAGATAAATATGGTGTAGGTGCCGCTTATTTTGACTCATTGCTGGGTAATAAAAGTAAAATTAAAATTCCTAATAATTTTACGATAATGTCAGCTGAATTAATTGCTATAAAGGATGCCCAATTACATGCTGTTACAATAAATTTTCAAAAAACAGTCATTCTAACTGATAGCAAGAGTGCTCTTGAACATATTGCTCGATGATGAAAATGAAACAATCTCCAAATTGCGATACATGCAAAACAATAGAAGATGTACAACACTTGCTCGCGGAATGTTCCAAAATCATCATGAAAGGAAACTATTAGTTGCCAAAACTGATATTCAATTTTGTAACCTAGGGGAATATCAAAGCATTCTGTCTGAACCATTATCTAATGCTGCTCAAATTGTATATAACTTAGTTAATATTTTGTGTAAATAATTTAAGAAATTGTAGTTTGTTATTTAGATATAAGGTACAATGGGACTGACATGTTTAAAATAACCTAAGTTCCTAAATTTAAAAAAAAAGAATTAAAAAAAAGAATTGTAAATCATTTATAAAATATATTGAAAAATAGCTCCTTCCTACAATCGTCGTTTTGGATGTCGAACGACGTTATGAAACGCTTTTATAACATAAACACCCACGCCTGTCACCCAGGGTAGGCAGAGAGTACAGACTTCCATTTAGCACGATCCTGACATACCTCTCTCGCCTCTTCCACATCCATATACCTACGCATACATGTTCGTCGGTTAAGGGTACTCTTAATTTGGCCCATTTTTAGTATATCGCCAATTTGGTCGACAAACTTCCGCCTAGGACGTCCCTTTCCGACTCTTCCATTCACTTCTGCAACATATATTTGCTTTGTCATTCTTTCCGCATTCATTCTTTCTACATGACCAAACCACCGAAGCATTCCTTTCTTAATCCTGGAACCTGCATCATCTTGCAAACCACACTTTTTTTTATAAATGCTAATATAATGCAGTGGTTTTAACTGTATAATATAATAAATATAAAATATTTATTTTATATTTCAATTAAAAAATTACTTACATCTTTACCATCCACTCCTGGAAATCCTGCTAATCCAACGAGACCGGCCTCACCAGGCTCACCTAAAAGTTGTGAAATCATTTTATAAGAATTAAAATTTCTATAATAATATGTACATTACGGTAGTAGCAAACTTCTTAATAAACTTTTCAACTATTTCTCTAGCAACAAAGCATTCCCTATTGTGTTCCAGTTTAAAAAAATATGGAATAAGGGTGACAAACGAGCATTCTGTCCGTCTATATCGACCCTTGATTAAACAAAAAACTGTAGGTGCACTCTTACCCCTGAGGACCAAAATAGAATGCTTCGTTACCAATAAAAATTGTTTCCGGTTCTCTACCCTCGGCATGGAAAACATAGCAGCATTAAGCTGTTATTTTATGCTGGTATCCTGTGAAAGTGTGGGCCTTCCTTGATGCCTTCCTTCCTGCAACTATGATATAGATACAGCGTGACTCTACCACGTTAGATAATATACAATAATATACATTGTATAATAACAGATAGAAGATGATAATATCATATAATAACATACAGTGAAATATTTTCTTAGATATGGTAGAACCACGCTGCACCTATATTATGGTTGTAGCAAGAATGGGTCGGCTCAACCGAGACAGGACCACGCTCTCACAGAATACCAGCGTAAAATAGCAGGGTAATGCTGCTGTTTTTCTTATAGTGGGTGTAGAGAACCGGAGACCCTTTTTACTGGAATCGAGGCATTCCATCTTAGTCCTCAGGGGTGACGCCTTTGCATTTTGATTCTTAATTGAGGATAAATGTGGATATATATGGGCCACTGCATCCACTTACCATCAGGTGGACTGTGTGCTCGTTTGTCACCCAATGCTATAAAAAAATTATTCCTAAGGAGTGTCCATGCATCTGCACACATTTTTCTTTAACATGGCTTACAGGTATCAAAATGTTGCAGTAGGCTTTCGTCACCAAATGGACAGTTAGACCTGTCCTTGAATTAAACTTAAAATACCAATACTATTAACGGAGGAAAAACGACATGAAGATTCAGATGTAGAGTCAGTAGCATGGAGATTGATACAGTCCACTCAAATCTGAAATTAGTGCTATATACTTACCGTGTAATGGCGGTGTGAGAATGTCCACTACCCCACATCATCCCATGGGTGTTGTAAGAGGTCTCAACAGGTCTGCCCTCATTTTCTGAGATGGCTTTATGGCAAAGAAGTGTCCACCGCGCTGCCCCAATTCGTGTTGACGAACTTCACATGTCATCGAAATATTTCTTCTTCTTCTCAGACATGCCGGTTTCTTCACGATGTTTTCCTTCACCGCCGAGCACGTGATAATTCACCACTTAAAATTGCAATTAACAATTTCATTGGTGCGGGCGGGGTTCGAACCCGGTTTTCTCGCGTACTTTGAAATTTACAACGAGCGCTAACCATCCCTAGTATCGACTAAAAATTAAAAAACTGCGGTTGATGACCCGCTTGCCAAGCATGAAAACTATCGCAAATAGTTCTAAGATCAATAAATGGCTCTAAGGGGGGATCGCCTTAGAGGCAGTCTATAGGGGAGGCCTATGTTCAGCAGTGGACTTCAGTAGGTTGTAACGGTGACGGTAACGGCAACGCAACGGTTTGCGAATTGCTACCGACACTAATGAAAATACTGATTTCAGTTTTAAATATTGAATAACAAACAACTTGTGCTTCGCGGAGGTAAACACTAACTGAAGCACACACGGCTGAAGCTAACACGGATCGAAACAACACGGTGGACCTGTTCTGTTTGTTACATCTCTCGCAGATATATAAATGACAGCCTAAGCAGTGTAACATTGTAAAAAGCTAAACCACAAGTTTATTAGTGGTAGAGCTACGCTGCAGCTATATTATGGTTGTGGCACGAATGGGTAGACTCCACCAAGCGAACAGGCAGAACGGCCACGCTCTCACAGAATACTGCTGTGTTTCGTATGGTGAGTGTCGAGAACCGGGGATCCATTTTACTGGAATCGAGGCATTTCATCTTGATCCTCGGAGGTGGCAATGCATCTGCGTTTTGATTCTTACTCGAGATTAGTTATAGATAACTATGGGCCACAGCATCCACTTACCATCAAGTGGACTGTGTACTCGTTTGTCACTCTTATTCTATAATATTTCAATTTTATACTTGGTAGAGCCATGCTGCAGTTATTTTAGTAGTATAGTTGTTGCACGAATGGGTCGGCTCGACCGAAGAAGTACCACGCTCTCACAGAATACCAGCGTAAAATAGTAGCTTAATATTCCTGTGTTTCGTATGGAGAGTGTTGAGAACCGGAGACCCTTTTTACTGGAAACGAGGCCTTCCATCTTAGTCCTCACGGGTGACAACGCATCTGCATTTTGATTTGTAATCGAGGATAGATGTAGATTTAGAAGTAGAGATTTATGAGCCGCAGCAACCACTTACCATCAGGTGGACTGTGTGCTCGTTTGTCACCCTATCCTATAAAGAAATAACATGACAAACAGCGTATACCTTTTTGTCCAGGATCACCTTTTTCACCTTTTGGACCTTGTGGCCCTGGCTCTCCTGGTTGGCCTGGCCCAATAGTTCCCTGTTGAATAGTATTGTATTATCGCAATCCTCAACTCGAAATAAGAGAACAGACATTAAAGTCGCTTTTCCAGTAAATTCTAGTAATTGTTTTACATAATAAAGAAAAAATTATAAGAGTTAAGTAAGTAAAAATATACAAGTACACCATCTCTTGTTTACGATCGTTTACTCAGTATATTATTCTTTGTAATAATTTTTAATCATTGCGTAAGGAAAGTTATCTAAACAAAGGCAGTTAATGTACAACAGCAAACTTAGTTTATTTAGTAGTAGATAAGGATGTAAGATCCGGTCAACTTATGACAGAATAATCATGTTTTCTTTAAAACGAAAGCCCTTATATAAAAGAAAAACAGATAAAAAAGGTAAACTAAACTTTCAATTAGAACAATTTTTACAATTTCTGTATATAATTTTATTCATAATTTTGCTGCATCCCTCGAATTATTTTAATAAAAAGGAAATAATTCAATGCAACTTTAAATTTCAACAAATTTTTGGACATGCGTTCAATTTCTTAACCTGTATGTAACGTATTCTTATATCTCTTTAAAAGCATATTGATAAAGTAGACATATGTTTGAGAGCATACTTTTCATTGTATGTAAACCCCGTTGCATTTCATGCCCTAATAAATTCACACAAGTTCCTATAACTCGATCGAAAAGAAACTGCAAAATTAACCTTAATTTTCTTGCACTTTAGTAAGCGCCTATGTTCATCTCTGTCCATATAACTCTGGAAAAATTCCGTAAGTTTCTAGAAAATATTCGTTGCCTCGTTGCGTCGCTGCGACGCGGCAAACTAACAAACATAATAAACTTTTACATCTGCCAAATATTTAGAATAGTTAATTATAGTTCATGTTCGACAATCAAATAGCCTATTTATCTGAATTTCCTTTAATTTTTTTTGACAAAAATGTTCACGAGAGCGGGAACATCCCATAAAAGTTTCATCGTAATCGTTTGAATGGTATGGGAAGGCATACAGAACAAACACAAAAACATTAATTTTTGTATATATAAATATTGATATGTTGACTTTAAAAGATAAAATTAGTATCTTAAAATAGTTACATTAACTGTATTTCCGGGGGGACCTGGCTCTCCCTTATCGCCTTTGGGGCCAGTTATTCCAGCAGGCCCAGGTGGACCTTCAACACCACGTATTCCCTAGAAAAAAGGTTAAAAATATATATTATTATATTAAAAGGATTTCCATAAAGAATATTTATATTATTTTATTTCTTTATCAGCCTATTAACGTCTCTCTAAACCCCCATTTCTTCCTCATTGCATTTATGATCATTGATCTACCGCCTAAAGTCTATGGTCTTTTAGTATTTATCTTCATTTCTCCGTCTTTTATTTAATTCCTTTTTGTTTTGTCTGGATGATGTTGCTATACAGTTCATCATTTAGCAACAATACCGCCTTTTGTTTTCCCTCAATATTTGTATATTTTGTTATGTTAATCTTTCCTTGGTGTACAATAAAGTGAATTGTAAAGTCCACTCCCGTTGTAGGAAAGATTTTAAGATAAGATATTTTATTTACTAAAACATGCGTGAGATATACATTTCATGGGCAAAGATATATTCTTGGTGTTTTTGTTATTAGAATCAATATGTCTTACCGATATTCGGTGTGTGTTAGGTTGTTAGTATTCATTCAACATTAGCAAAGTCTAACAATATACAAAGTCAGATAAATTATTACTTATAACAATTATAATAAGAAATGTATGTATGTACAAGGCAATTATATAATTTCTCCAAAATTTATCATTGAGAAAGTCAGTTACAGTGTAGTAGCATTTTTCAATTAAAAGGTTTTTGAATTTATTTTTAAAAAGAATGCTGTTCAGTGATTTATACATTTTATTATAGATTTTAGGAGCCATGCCATTACACTCTTTCATAGCAGAGCCGTTTTTGCTTGTTGCAAGCACAATTTACTTCCATCACGACGGTTGCGCATTAGACGTTTTTTCCTTAAGCAAGACACTTAGCAGGCGCTTGCCAGAAGTTACGCATCTAATAGATCTGTATGTAGCCCTATTCACTAACTTTGTTAACTTCAAAATGATAGTCACTTTTTAGTACATTACGACGTATGTTTTATGAGCCGTGGAGCTTTCATAGAAAAGCTATAAAGAATACGAAATGTATTATAATGTGACTATCATTATTTTACGAAGTTGCGAATAGGTTTTGTGTTAAGGGAGATTTGGATCATTTGACACCCTGGATATTACCCGCCACAACACGACCAACTTATAGGATATTTGTTATTAGTTTAATATGTTATGATAGGAAAGTTAGGTAATAATACCTACCACGCTTGTGTGTTTTATAATATTAATAATGAATTTATTCATAAAAAATATGGTACAAAGATGTTCATCAAATTTGGTACATGAAAACTTATGATTATAATATACAATATTTAAGTAAAATTAAACGTGCGTAAAATTAAACAATTTTGATATTAATCCATTTAAACACGATCAAAGAAGAAAGTTTAACAGTCAATAGAAACGTTCTTTTATTTTGAGCAGTTCATTTACCGAATAAAATTGTTTTTACAAAAATCACTTTAATAAATTACGTCTAAATCTAATTTCCTTATTATAATCTAATTTCCTTATTTTATTTGGGATTTTGTTAAACACTTGAATAATCATCATATAACATAACTTTAATTTTTAAATTTTATCCAAATTGTAAGGCACAAACATAATAATTTTTTTTTAATATTATTGTTTGACTACCATCCTACTTGGTAGTAAGTGGTGATTTAGCCTATCCACTCTTGTTAATCGAATAAATAGAAAGACAGATACTGGCAACTTATTCCACTCCTTTGCTGTACGTGTGTAGTAAACCGTTTGATTCGCATGCGTGGTAAGTCAACAACGAAAAGGTGGAGATCAGCGTCTGGTTTTTCGAAGATGATAGAGAGGTGGAGGAATTAAGTTAGTAAAAGATCAAGATGAATGTGGTTAATATAGAGACCTTTTTACTCATAAGAAGATACTGAAAAACTAACTTCAAAAATTAAGATTAGTTTATGTATGCTGAAGTATGTCTATTGTGATCGTGTGCAGTATTCTTTTGAATGTCTTCGGTAAGCTTACACCTAACATTTGCAAAAAAATTATTGACTACATTAACTGATTGAATAGGGCTTGGTTCTATATCTAATAATTCAATATTAGTAGTTTTATTTTCCTTGGTTGTTGTAATATTTTTATATTATTCCATAATATTTTAAGATTTTTGTCTAATAATAATGTTTTCCATATGCACAGCTATTGCAGTAATTGCGCTATCTGTTATATGTTATTCTCAAATTTTCATCAAAAGGGTTGTTTTTAAGTCGTTTTTGCATTTTATTTCTATTTTTAATGCATCTAAGCATACCTGTAGTTATCCATGGTTTAATAGCACATCTATTTTAGGAATACTGATAGTATTAATGTTTTCATGTAAAGTTGTAAAATGTTTATTAATATTTCTATAATTTTATTAAGATCATCGCGTCTTAGGACTATACGTGTCAGAGAAAGGGAGAGAATTGATGCGTTCGAAATGTGGTGCTGGAGGCGAATGCTGCGAATACCGTGGACTGCGTAGTGCACAAACGTGTTAATCTTATCTCAACTCAAGATCAAGACGCGTCTTTCCACCACATGTCTTCAGCGCATCCTCAGCTATTTTGGTCATATCTCTCGCCGCGGGGACGAAAGTATTGAGAAATTGATAGTTGTTGGAAACGTAGAGGGAAGAAGTCTCAGAGGTAAAGATCTCCAACCCGGTGGTCTGACCAAGTCAAAGAAGTCGGTGCACGAAATTTCTACGACGCTCTCCGCATGGCCAGCGATAGGACCCGGTGGAGACAGATCATACACAATAAGCTTACTCTCCTTGTAATGGTGATCACGATCCTCAGTCATGAGGGACCGACTAGAGAGAGAGATTAGGATCATCACATAATAGTAAAATAGATAAATTTTTATTAGCAAGGCTAGTAACCGCCTTATCAAAATCAATATACGCTTTTGTACGCGGAGAAGTTTTTATCTTTTTAGTTTTAGTTAAACTAAAGAACACCATATAGAGATCAGTGATAGATGTAAGTAGATGTTGCTTGTGTCTTTTTTCTATTTAATTTAAGTATAACATGATCCAGACAACTATTTTCCCTTGTAGCAATTGTATGTCCCGGTAATAAGCCGAAAGTGGAAAGGACCTCAAGATAGTTAAGTATATTTCTTTGCTCACTATTTAGTTCATCAAATTTTGGAATAAGATTTAGGTTGATATCTCCAGTAATGATTATAGATAGAGAGATTATAAGTATCGTCTATTTCTTTCAACGTAATTAAAGAACTATCCATCATAAAAGCAAATGGAACTAATAACACTGAATTTGTATAGCTTCTGGTGATGTTTGTTCATGATTTCCCTAATGTAGTAATGTAGCTGTTATAAAAAAGTAAGTCTGAGGGTAAGTGTAAGTAAGTGAGGGTGAGTTAAAATAGTAAAGTAAATTGCAAGTAGTAATTAGTAAAATGTAATGAAGTGTGTATACTGGTGTGATCGAGTGTTTTTGTGTGTTAATATATTGTGTAAACTTAAGATTAGTATTAAGTGGTATTAAGAGATGAAAATAGGAAAGTCAAGTTGTTACACTTATATCCTAGTAATAAACTTAATAGTATATATATTATACAACATGTAACATGTAAAAAAACTACTTTCTCAAAGTGCATTAATTAATGCACTTTGAGAAAGTAGTTTTTTCAGAATCGTTTACTGAATCGATTCCTATCATTTTTAATATAGGTAATTTTTTATCCCAAAAATAATTAAAACTACGTAAATTACAGTCCTACTAAATCTATACAGTCAAAACAAACTGAAATGGACCGTAACTTAAGGCAATAAGACTTTTAAGAGTGCAGTTTTATTTGTATTATTACTAATTCTGTCATTCAATAAAAATAAAGAAAAATTAACTTTATTTCAAGCCTGTTAAAGGCTTTGCGTTCGTGGATTAGTACTGTGACCACAACATTCTTCCGGAATTAGTATAACTCATTTGATAAATAATCAGTGCATAAAAATGTTTAACTAAAAATTCAGTGTATGTATTATGATTATAACATAATATACTAATTGGGGTGTCTGAGGGTGTGCGTTAATTACGTTACATATTGTATATAGTCATTCTTTTTGTAATAATTGTTGTAGTTGATTTTTGTTCCATAGTTTGTATTTTTATTTATTTGTAATATCAACGTTGAACATGCCGGCGATAAAGTAGAGCCCATTTCACCTTTTATTATTTTATTGACTGATGAAGAGCTATCGTATCACAAAGCCTATGCAAACAAAGTTGTAGTTTTTAAGTTATTAAAAAGTGACCATAATAACCGGATGACCATATTACCCTCACGTACTATACATGAGAGTATAGTCCTCTGTTAAGTTCAATTTATGTAAGTCAAAACGTTTTGTGTTTGGCAATGAAAAGTTAACTGCCGATAATAAATCTCCCCCTAGACTGCCTCAGAGGGAAGATTTTGCCTTAGTTGCCACGCTTGGCAGGCAAGTTGGCAATCACAGATTTTATTGTTTTGGATCAGGAATATAATACTGCCCATCTGTTTAATTTCCTTGTATTGTCGCTTAAGGCATGGGACGATGTGTATAGTAGATTTTTAACACTCCGCCACTTAACGGCCAGTATATCGTACAGGCATTGTGCCCTATGTCGACTCCGATTACAATATCAACTCCGGACGAGAATATCCTACGACGCTCGATTGGCTATACCTTTTCAATTGGTGGTTAAAAAATCTGCTATGATAGAAATTTATTTTATAAAAAAATGCGTTCCTTAAAACTAAAGTATAGACTTATATTTAAACGAGTAAATAACGTCTTTCATATAAAAAATGTAAAATTTACCGGCAGTCCTGTATATCCTCTGGAGCCTTGTTCACCTTTCCGACCTGGTGGGCCTTCGGGTCCCTAAAATTAGTACAATGCGAAAAGTATTTAGCTGTTTTTAAATCATTTCTATTAAAACAAGTTGTTTTTTAATTAGTTCTTATTTTCATTTCTAAAAATTATTGATTTTAAAATATGTATTTCTAAAGAAGCAATGCGAATATTGGCGGAAACGAGCACAAAGTTATCGATACTTTGACCTATAGACACACAAATCAATTTTTGATTAAAAAAACAAAATGCGTCCCCGCAATTACCGTAACTCATTTACCAGTAAAATGGTTTCTCGATAACACTCACACAACAGTATTATAGTGGCTATAATACTGTTTTGATTATAAGTTATCACTTAAGACGTAAAAAAGTAAAAGTAAAATTACAGCCTATATACGTCCCACTGCTGGGCACAGGCTTTCTCTCATTTCTGAGAGGGTTTTAGGGCAAGGAATAGTCCGCCGCGCTGTCCCAATGCGTGTTGGCGAACTTCACATGTCTTCGAAATATTTTGTTCCTATTTCTCAGACACGCTGGTTTCCTCACGATGTTTTCCTTCACCGCCGAGCACGTGGTAAATCAGCACTAAAAATTGCAATTAACAATTTCATTGGTGTCGGCGGGGATCGAACCCGGTTTGCTCGCGTATTGTGAAATTTACAGCGAGCGCTAACCATCTGAGCTACCACGGCTCCACTTAAGACGTGCTGAACGATATTATGGAGCCTTAACATCCAATGCAAAATGAACAGAAATGCGCGAATAACATTTATAATGAAGACCTGCAAGACCTTTCTAGACATACGTAAGTAGCTAATGGTAAGAAATACTGGGTTTAGGGGCGTTTTCTAAAGCATCGTATTTCATACAACATTTCATAGTACAATTATTTATTTGACTAAAAGAAACTATGATGTCAGTTACTCGTTTTCAATTACAATTTTTATCGTAATCGTTAAGGTATTAGGTCTATGACTTCTATGTTTTTTTTAATTAGGTATTATGGATTATAAAGTCCTACGTTGGTTCTAGAATACCTAGTTTCAAATATTAATAAACACTAACTAAAAGTGTATAAAGAGTGCTGTAGATATCAGAAATAAAACTTAAAGTTGATAACGTCAACCTCAAGGAACATCTACTTACCGGTGGACAAGTAGCGTTACAAACCGGTGTCACTATTGGAAATAATCCGTTACCGTTACCGTTACCGTTAGGTGACGAATCAGGAGATATTAACTGCAATGAAATTTAAAATTTTATTAAAAATTTGCGTTATTCTGTTTATCTACCCTAAGAAATCCACCCTAGGGTGGATACCCGGAATAGCGTGTTGGTTTATCCACCCTAGACGGGGTGGATAATCGGAATTAGTGTGTTATTTTTCTTCCGATTTTCCCCCTCGGCTGTATACAGTCGTTTTTAAAAACATGATAGAAACTCGCCCAAGATTACTTATTAGACATTAGCATACTTATAAAAATACTTACATAGTTCTTGTATAAAGGTCAAAACAGAAATACTTTTAATTGTTCAATTACATATCATTCGATATGACATAATTTACGTCATTTTAGAGATAATAAAATATATTGTATTGAGAGACTAATTTATACAGGATATACAAAAACGTCTACTGAATAATGAAATGAAATTAGTGTTGGTAATTTCCTGGATATATTGCAGAATTTATAAATTACTTATTATTATTTACAACAAGGAACTTTAATTTATATTAAAAATTAATCAATAATAATATGTTAAAGTATAAATATATTTTCTTAAACTGTACTTGGAATGGAAAGGCAGAACAACAATCAAAGAGTGAATTCTGATTATCCACCCTGTCTAGGTTGTATAAACGAACACGCGTTTCCGAGTGGACTACCTTAGGGTGGATAAACCGAATAACCCCAAACTTTACATTAAAGTCGTGACGTGTTGAAATAATAAATTCTAATTACTGTTATAATTTATTTGCTAAGCACATTGAAAATAAATAAAACACTCATCACATCATCCCTTAATTTCATTTTAATTTCATATGTATATTGAAAGAAAGAAACAAAGCTTATTTGTCGCTCAAAGAGAAAAAGCTATAATTTAGGTATTTAATTAAAATTACATTTTACATTCATTCGTATTACTTTTGCTATGAAAACACGTAATACTAAGAATAAAAAACAAATTGATATTTGAAATGAACAAAATCTATACCTTTTTAATATTTCTGATAGTGAAACTTTATAGTACATAACATAATATATTATTAGAAGTACGACACAAAAGGTTCTAAGTTCAGCATTAGCTGCGGGTGTAAAACTTGCCGTGTGGAATTTGTTTTGTTTCATTCATTACACCATATCGAAAGTCAACTGCTGATCATAGACCTTTCCCATGGTTTGTATCGTAGGGATTTTCGCCTTAGCCGCACTTGGTAGGCGAATTGACAACCGCAGGTTTTTATTATTTTAAGTTTTTTATAGAATACGATGACAAACGAGCAAACAGTTCACGTGATGTTAAGTGGATGCTGTGGTCCATAGGCATCTACATTTATCCTCAATTAAGAATCAAAATGCAGATACGTTGTCATCCGTGAGGATTAAGACAGAATGCCTCGTTTCCAGTAGAAAGGGTCATCGATTCTCTACACTAAATATACGAAACACAGCAGTATTACGCTGCTATTTTACGCTGGTATTCTATGAGAGCGTGGTCTTCCCCGGTCGAAACGACCCATTCGTGTTACAACTATAATATAGTTACAGCGTGGCTCTACTACGTAAGGAATTATCAGGAAGTTGTTATCAGGAAGATATTCCTACCTATCTCCTGTATCAGTTTCACTCTATCACCTCTTACGGCACTCACGAAATAATATGGAGTAGTGGATACTATTACGCCGTCATTGCACGGCTATACTAAGTTATACGGCGCGGCTATAATAAGCTACTAATAACGTCACATCATAATAATTTAAATTAAATTCACAATTGTTGTAACTTAGTAGAAAAGATAAAACTTACCGGTGAAGGCGCAGTCGCGATCAATGGTTCAGATAAATCCTATAACAAGACATTAAATGACAGAGTAGTTCATGTACTTAAAACATATGGTTAAAATCCAAAAATAATTTGAATATTACTTACAATTTCTTCGCAACTGTCCTTTGTAAGATTGTAACGATTGCAGCTTAGAGATAACCATTGGAGATCAATCTGTAATTTAATAATTAATTACATTTTTTACGATATGAATCCAGTCCTTTTTTATCTAGGATGCAAACAACTAAATATCAAAATAACTTAAATTTAATAAAATTTAAAAAAATCCCTGAAACAAGAAAAGCTGATGATCTTCAAACGGCTGGACCGATTTTGATAAAACATGTCTAAGAAACAACGCTAGAATACCTGCTTTTAATTTAAAAACGCATCAAAATGGGATCACCCGTTTAAAAGCGTTAGTGCCACAGACAGACACACATAGCTGTCAAACTTACAACACCTCTCTTTTTCATCGGAGGTTAAAAAATAAAGTTTCACGTTGTATTTTTAAAGAAGAAATGATGGAAAACGAGCACACAGAGCACACAATCTACCCAATGATAAGTGGAAGCAGTAGCCCATAAGCTATATCTGTTCTATCCTCGAATAAAAATCAAACTACAAATGCGTCGTTATTTCTAAGATCTAAGATAAAAAGTCTCGTTAGTAATAGAAAGGTTTCTCGTTCTCCTTTCTCATCACAAGAAACACAGCCAGTTAAGCTAATATTTCATGCTGGTAATCTGTGCGAGCGTGGTCCTCCGGTAGCCCTACGTAGCCGACGTATTCATTCTATACGTGGTAGAGCCACGCTGAAGCTATATTATGTTTGTAACACGAATTTGTCGGCTCGACCGGGGAAGGAGCACGCTCTCACAGAATACCAGTGTAAGCAGCTTAATACGTGTATCGTATGGTGAGTGTAGAGATTTAGACCCTTTTTTACTGGAAACGAGGCATTCCATCTCAGTCCTCACGGGAAATATAGATGTCTATGAGCCACAGCATCCACTTACCATCAGGTGGCCTGTGTGCTCGCTAGTTAGTTATTCTATAAAAAACGTGTAGCATGACTCTGTCAAGAAAAGCTCGCTTTATCTTTTCAAGCTTTGGAATTGCTGCAGTACTACTGTCGGAGTAGGAAAGAAACTTACGAGTATAAAAAATCATTTTTACACGACTGTCTCAGAAGACGGGCTATGTTTGGTATGTATAATACGAATGTTTGTATGTATCTAATGCATATAGGTATGCTTGTCTGTTCTTAGGTGACATCCCTTTGCCTAAATGGCGTGACGAGTTTTGAAATTCATTTCTGTCTTCATATCTGGAATTCCATAGACTCACAGACTACATTTTTTGGTAATATTATATATATATATATATTTTTTTTTTATATATTTTTTTCGGACTTGCGTGTATTGTAGTTAAATCATTTTCGGTTTATTTGGTATTAATTTTTTTTTTTTTGTCGGAAACCGTGGTGTGCTTTATTTTAAATACTACATTGTCTATAAAACTATATGTTCATTCGTCATGAGTAAAATGGTTTGAGTGTTTTTTCTCGTATATGTATTATGAAGTCAAAAGCGAAAAAACTTTCTATGTTGCCATCCCAATAGCCTATTAAAAATTCCACTGCTGATCATTGGCCTCCCCTATATGCTTCTTTATATGAGGCGTCAAAGTGGGGATTGGATACAGAACGGGGTGTAGTTTTTATTATTTTAAGTTTCATCATATCATTGATATCAGAATGTTGCTGCCTATCTCCAGCTCTGTCGCCTCTTACGACACCCACGGGACGATACGGTGTAGTGAATATTCTTACACCACCACCACACGGTCTGCTATTATATATTAACATATTATTATGTGTACTTATTTATAATTTAAAGTGGTAGAGCCACGGTGCATTTATATTATGGCTGTAGCACGAATGAGTCGACTCGAGCCGGACCACGCTCTCACAGAATACAAGCGTAAACTAGCAGCTTAATGCTGCCGTGTTTCGTATGATGAGTGTAGAGACTCGAGAGAGAGAATCGAAGACTCTTTTTATTAGAAACGGGGCATTCCATCTTAGTCCTCATGGGTGACAACGCGTCTTCATTTTGATTCTTAAGCGAAGATAAATGTTGTCTATGGGCCACAGCATCCATTTACCAACAGATGGACTTTGTGCTAACTTGTCACTTTTACTCTATTAAAAAATTACTATTGTAGGCAATAAAATAAATTAATTTCAGTATCTTACCGGAGACGGGGTACCATCGTCATTAGACACTATCGACAACGTGGTTGCATTACCGAAGTCATGTTTTCTGACTTTTTCTGGCATTAACTAAACAAAAATAAATTAATTTGACGCATGTTTGTTTAAAATAAATAACACATCAAATATAATGCAAAAGATATTATTATATTAATTTATCACATATCAGCGCTGTGGTTATTGTGAAGTGAAACTTCTTTATCGACGTAGTGGAGAACTTTTGTACGGCATTACGAAACAAAAATGTTAAGTTTTCTTGTAATGTTTCACCGCCGGGGTTGCATGAGTATAGTATTGTTGCGCGCCTAAGTTGACGTCATGTACCCGGCACTAGCGCCATCTGTGTCAGGTAACGGAGCGAGGAGAGCTTTCAGAAAATGACATCACTAATCTTTCAACCGACAGCGCCATCTAGTATCGAAACAAAGAACTAAGCTTCTAGAAGCCCGACACTCGAACTTTCGGCGCCTTGGCGATTGGCGCGCGTATTTACTTGAATATTCTGGATGTTTCGGTGATAATGTGTATTTAAAGGCACTGCAAGATGCGATCGGGGAAGTATTGAATTTGGCGAGACAAGCGAAGCTTCGGAGCAAAATAAAGTGAATCAACTATTAGTGTTCTAAGTTTTAATTAGTGTAAAGTGAATTAAAGAGTTAATTTTGGTAATTCAATCGGCAGTTTTTATTGTCACGAACCTCAAGCTCGTAAAAGTATTATTTAACCTACTTATGTAAAATAAAAAAAATAAAGAAGTATGATATGTCGTAAAGAAGTTTCACTTCGTACGTGTGTACACAGTTAACGCACAATTTTTTTACACCGCAACACATTATGATATATTCATGTGGTACAATGATGTATTATGCAGCTTCAAAGAAAGATGTTTCTTCTTTATTTCTTTCTTTTTGTATGATTGGTAATCTGAAACTGAGAGAAACTCTTAGATAAAATTTAAAGAAATTAATATAATGACATAGACTTCTCAGTATATTTACAAAAATTTTACGTATGTTCACAAAAACAAAGATAGCTTTAGTAAAAAATATTATACACACTCTGTAAACACTAGGATCAACAAGCTAGTGATACCAGTTTCTTGACTCCACAGAGTCAGTATATTATTCTTAGGGCAACGTATAGTTTAAATTATTAAATGAAACAAAAGCTGTGTAAAAAGGTTATTATAGTATAAATGAATATAATGTGGTTAATAATAATCCCTGGGAGTGAGTTCGTCGATTCCAAGCTGTTTCAAAAATATTGTAAAATTTATTTTTATAAAAAAGTCCCATTGGGTTTCTTGCTGGATTTTCCCAGGACAGAGGTTTTTTTCAAACCAGTGGTAAAGTAAAAAATGACTTTCCATAGGAATTACATGTGATCTATATTGAATAAAAATTATTCTTTTCTAATAAATTCTAACAAAGGAAATTGTAGGTATGTGTCATTATATCTACAGATAAAGATTTATTTTATTGACTGCCTCATTGTTCCGGTAACTGGTGGTCGGAAGCACAATTCGAATATCGAGTCAAGCGACTATCAGTGATTAATTTTTTCTGTCACTAAATTCGTGCAATCCGAAGTCAGGAAACTGGCAGTGCTTCACCCCGCGCCTCGAAAAGCACGTTAAAGTTAATCCTGCGCCTGATCTCTCTACGATCGTGTAAGATTGTCGCTCCAACAGACTGTGAGAGTGAGGGAGCAGAGAGTGCACGCTCGTGCACTATAATACCGTCCTGCGTAGATGTCATAATCTCCGTTTAGATCGCTCGTCGTGATCGAAATTCGATGTGACGAGCTAAACAACAAGAAATAGCCATTCTTACAATCTTCTTCATTATTATTATCATAAATTTTATGTAGCAGTCGAAATGTGAACAAAATAGCTTATTTTTATCCTGTATCAATCTATATAATCTATTCTCTCGAGGGACAATTATTACTAACACTAGTGAAACTTACCTCTTTGCAATCAATTGCTACGTATACAGTGTCATCGGTTACAGCTGCATGTATTTTATGCCATCCGGGAGCGAAAAGCTGAAACCGTTACGAGCATTTTATTATTGCCAAATATATGTACATATAATAAGGATAAATTAAGGGTCAGTTCACACAGAGACGCGACGCGACGCGACGAGGCTTAAGGTGATACCTCGAAAATTTGGTGGTTTTTCTATTTAACATATTTTTTTTTAAGTTTTATAGATTATAAACCAAGATTTTGGTATATGATTTTCGACTATATGATCTTAGATTGCATAAAAGGAAAACACGATATCATGAAATTTTCTCGATAGAAAAAATTGCAAAGTAGGCTCTAATTATTTACATTTCTCGATGACACCTCAATATTCTTACGAATAATTGCATGGAATTATTTTTAAGGCATAGTAAATCTAAGGTCTCATAAACCAGTTTTTTAATCCATAACGAAGTTTTGTTAAAATAAATGAAAATGTCGTTTGGCGCTTACTTAGTTTTTTTCCGAGCGCTTGCTCGGTATGGCTATCTCATAATTTGCGTACTATGAACACATTGCATCACTTTCATTTTGACACTCCCGCAGTCGTCCGTTAGCTTCACCGACAAAGGAATAAGCCACGCCCCCAAAACTTCGATTCGATGGTGTAGTCGCTGGCAGCGCACCGCACTTGCACGCTGCGCCTACCGACGAAGCACCGCAGCGTCCTGATGCGCCGCGGTACGCCGTGAGGCATCTCTAGGCGCAGCGCAGCTTGGGACGACGCCGCGGAGCATTTTAAAATTATCTCAATAAAATGTGCACCTTGTTGTGTAGTAAATAAAGTTATATTTTGTGTCACATCTTATAAAGTGCACGCCAGGTCACGTGTCGGTGTGAGCTGACCTTAACTTTAATTGTAGATACTAATAAAAATATATCCTGTAGTGGCGGTGTAAGAATTTCGACTATCCTTTCGACTAGTGGATGTCGTAACAGATGATAGAGGGAAACAAATCAGAATATGGGCAGCAGCGTCTTCTTAATTACGACTAAAATAAAAAAAAACTGTAGTTGCCAACCGCTTGCCAAGAGACAAAACAGAGAGATGACAAACAGCAGTGAACTTAACTAAGCTGTAATAGTAACGACAGAAAAAATATACAGTTAAATATTTAACCATATGCCATAACCATATAGCCATAGCAGTTAGAAAATTCAAACGTAATAAAAAGTTGTAGATCAGTAATCTAACTGTTAAGAATACACGATAGACGATCATATAACCACCACCACTGTTCATATTCTGTCTCTATCACCAGGTGGTAGATACAGTTTTCTGCCTGAGGGTCCGTCTTGGTGGGTACCAGCCTCTAAACTATTATGCTGCCAAATTACGTGGTATCATTTTCGTGGCAGAGCCATTTTGCAGCTATTTTATAGTTGTAGCATGAATAGGTCTGCTCGATCAGTGAAGGACCACGTTCCAGAACACTAGCGTAAAATACCTGCTTATTGCTCCTGTGCGTCGTATAGTGAGTGTAGAGAAGTGTTCCCGTCTTACTGGAAACGAGACATTCCATCTTGGTAATCAGAGGTAGCAACTGCAGCTTTGCTTTGCGTTTGAAGTTGGCTGCATATGTTCACGGACTACAGTAACCACTTACCATCAGGTGGTGAGACGTCTGATGGTGCGTTCTGCAACAGCCTAACGTAACAATTAAAGTAAATCCTCCCTGCCACGGTAGAAACTCAACGGGCTACAAATCGGGCTAAAGAAGGAGAAGAAGATATAAGAAATATTTCGCAAGAGCCAACGTTACTCAGGGGCTCGCTGTAAATTTCACATTAAGCAAGCATTCTGGTTCTTAATATCCGCCGGCTGCATGAAATTGTTAGTGACAATTTGAAGTGCTGATTTACTCTGTCCTCGAGGGTGGAATAAAAAATCGTAAGTAAGCCTGCATGATGTCGGAGAAATTATAAATTAAATTACGTGTGAAGTCTGTCAACACGTAATTTGTGCAGCACGACGAGCACTTCCTTACATAACAAGAGGTTTCCCAACGCTGAGACATATACAGGATTATTTTGCAATAACTGGCCAAATTTGCGGAGAATGTTCAGAATAAGTAATATAGGCAAATGGTGTAGATGATGAATTTAAAAAATTCTCAAACGTTCTGTCCTCTTTATCTTTCAAATTTAAAAAAGGGTGGTAATGCATTATTTTAACCGATTTTACTGCGCACGCAAACATTCGTAAAGGTCGATCGGTAGTTCGGTAGGCAAAAACGTTATTGCCCATAGATCACATTCAATTTAGGACCATTTCAAATAAAAGAAGAAGCCTTATTCACTCGTATTTTTAAAAACTGCAATAACGGTATATCATAATTTAGCTACAATTTGAAAAATAACCCTGTATAATATATTATTTCTAATAATTCGCATTCGCGCAACAATGAGTTTTATTTTTGAGAAAAATATACTAGCAATGTGTTATCTAGCGCATTCATGTGAAGACCTATCCAATATATACATAAGGCCGAAAAGCAATAAAAAAGAAAAATTAATACCTCAGGACAATCAAAGACAACTCGAGATGTCTGTACGTACACCGTGAGCTTCTTTACGTTAGGCAACAAGGTTATGGAGAAGATAAGGTTTCGAGATCGTGCTCGTATCAAACTCCAAGGTCTTTGCAATCCATGCGCGTTAAATGTCCCGATCACATTGAAGTGCTCTGGCCACCCAAATGGTAAAACCTTTCTGGAATTAATTTTAAGAATACATCATACCGTCATCGTTACTTAGCTACATCCAATTTAAAAAAATTACTTATGGCATATGTTCCATAAATGTAATGGGACAAACAGCAGTCCCAATAAATTTGACTTTAAAATATAAACATCATAATTTTTTTGAAAGTTACTAAAAATAATCAGATGTTTACGCATTCCTCAAACCCTGAAAACAAGAGTGTACAACCAGTGTTTGTTGCAGTTGCAAAGGAAAGGGGGAGATCTCCCGCCGGGCAAGATGTTCTGCCCGGGGAGCGGCCGACACTCCGTGTGATAGTTCGGAGATGTTCTATATATGCTGTTTATGATTCGGAATGTTGATAGCGTGATTTAAGCTTCGGTGTGTTTCGCTTGCGGCGCGACGACAGCGCCGCCACATCACCCCCCTGCTCAGACCGGAGGTCGATAGTGTCTTTTAATGCCGGTTGGGAATGCATGCTGTGTGCGTAAGGGCAAGTGACACCGGTGTGAATGATATGCCGATGTGTAATGCATGCCGTACTACGCACTGGCAAGTGATGCCGGTGAGAACGATGTGCCGGAGCAAGTGCCAGAAGTCTGCCTTATAAATTTGCGGTGAGTCGAGATGAATTCAAGTTGGACTGGCTTGCAGGAACTGAAGACTGCAGAAGACGATTCTCAATAGTGAATGGTAGGGGTTCTTGAGGATAATGACGAAAGCTTGAAGTTGTAGTTTCCGAAGGTGTTTGGTTGCGTGTTCAGATCACGTCGGTTAGTCACCACTGTGGCCGTGGTAGGAAAAGGGGAGATCTCCCGCCGGGCAAGGTGTTCTGCCCGGGGAGCGGCCGACACTCCGTGTGATAGTTCGGAGATGTTCTATATATGCTGTTATGATTCGGAATGTTGATAGCGTGATTTAAGCTTCGGTGTGTTTCGCTTGCGGCGCGACGACAGCGCCGCCACAAGTTAATCTGAGAAGTGGTACTTCACTGTTAGCCATTTAAGAAAGCTTAAGCTCATTCAGCGAGATGTGAAGAGTGCTATGCTCGATCTATAATTGACTTCGTAATGAGGATAGGACCAGTAAATTGAAGTGACAATCAGCTATATAGCTTGAGGATTTGGAAGAAAGGTTATAATTACAACGTATCTTTCAATAGTTGTAATACTTAAAAAAATACTTTAGCATTTGACTCAATACACAGAAGGTTCTGCAGCACAAAGTAGACGGCGTGTGCACTATTTTTTGATAACTCTACAACAACAGCAAATAAAGGGTATGTTCCAAAATGGAACCCAGTGTACTGTCCAATGCAAATAACGTCTTGAATCGACGCCATACTGGTGATTCGTTCCAAAACATAGGACAGTATATGACGTCATACATTTACGTCATATTGGAAAAGTGTTGGTGATTATTTTGTCATTTTGTGCTCCAAAAACCATTATATCCTCCTAATGGAGATACCAGCAATTATTCTATATTTTTTTGACACAATTAAAAATTGTTTTAATATGGCCGGATATCCGACACAATATGGCGGCGGCACGTCAGTCTTCGATCAACAACCATGCTATTGTTGATCGAAGACCTCAGTACAATATGGCGTCAATTGATGACGTCATTTTATTCGGCAGTATACTGGAAACGTTTCGGAACACACCCAAAAAGAACTGATAACGCTAACTTATATATCTGCGACCATTTAAAAAAAAAAAAGATCACTTATTACTTAAGCGTTAGGCCCGGTTCACATTTTGAGAAGTGACAAGTGCGAATGGCAAGTGCAACGGACAAACGACAAGTTATATTATATTTAGCAGTTAAGTTAGGTTAAACGGTTTGCCGTTGGCGTAAGAGTCAGAGGAAAGATATCAGATAGATATCAGAAAGATTTCTTGTCCTCCAATGCATATAACTATGACTTTGTTGTACGATCATCTTGCCACGTCAGACCTAATATACCCAAATACAATTTATGACACGTCCGGTGCTACTCGTAGTATCACCAATCCGCCTGCGTAATGTGGTGATAGTGGTAAGTACTCTCTACAGTGGGAGATGCCAATTCCCAATAAAAGACTTTTACGGGCTGATAAATTAAAAAATGAGATTATAAACGTTTCACATGAATATATTAAATTCATTATTGTTGCACTAAAAACTCGTATTTTTCGATATTATTCGTTTTTACTAATTTTAACATTATAAAATTAGGATTTTGGTGAGTAAACTAGGTAATAAATCTTTCTTCCCAGGAGCCTGCTTGAGTAGGCACCACCCTCTTATATATTTGCGCGTCAGAGTGCAGTGCCTGCACTGATTTGTTCCCGAAGGAATGTTTTCTGAAGGGTTTAGAGAGCCATTCTTATAGTATAGTATATGTACAATACCCTACATCTTCGTTTGAAGTAAGGTATTGTACACCATGTAAAAAACATCAAAAAATATATATTATGATAGGTTTTGTAAAAAGTAAACGAGAAATATTGTTTTCTTTTTATAAAAATGCATTATTAATGTTATAATTTAATTTTAAGAATATTTATTATCTGTACCTCAAATCTCCAAAACCATATTAGATTCCGTCGTGACGTCACTGGTTAAGTGAACTAGCTAATGTGCTGTGTGTTATTTCGAAATTTTTCAAGTTATCATTACGACTGTTATATTTTATTCCGAAGTTTATGAAAAGGTATCATTGAAGACTGATTCGTAAAAGCAGAAAGCAGCAAAAATTTTTGCATGCAATCCCGATTTTTGTTCTGCTGAGTTGAGAAATGTTTAAACATCATTGTTAGTATCTATTACCAATTTTTGTTCATACAATAACACAAAACCAGGTCAAAGTATATTTTTAATAATACATAATTATATTTATCTATGATTACAATCATTACTTATATATCTAAGATAACGTCATTTATTACAAAATTTGACTTGCAATACCTATCAACTCATGATGTTTTGTTTTGTATTTGATTGTTAAATATAAGTCAAACTTACATCAAAATGATCTTCACAGAAGTATAGTCTAGTTTTTGTAGACAATCTATTGGAGTATCTTCTTTTCAGTTTTAACCAAGTATTTCTCATATTTATATTTTGTCAGTTGTTCCTTGAATCCATAACTTCCACGGCGTTCTTATGCTCGTATTTTCGTATTCAGGCACAACACATCAGTGATAAAGATGATAAGTGATAACTCATTATTAAACATCCAAAAATACCTTATTCCTTTGTAAAATCGGCAAAATCCTACGATAGTGACGTCACGAGCCTAACAGCATGGCGGCAAGCGTTTTCACGTGAAAATTTAAACGATAAATTAAAAGTAATTTTTATGGCACCATTCGGTTTTAAAAAATTATAGTGATTCATTCACTCTAGGATTCATTTAAAACACTATTTGAAAATGGGTGTAATACCCAGTTGGCTGCAGGTGTTCATGAACTGTAGTAGCAACTTACCATCAGGAGGATTATAAAATCTTTTGTCACTTCCATTTTATTCGGAAAAAAAAGCTAAAACGTAAATTGCTTACTCTGGTGGTAAACTAAGATTAGTTCCGTCACCGATTCTATAAGCTCTTTGCAGATCCTGAGAACCCTGCACCAGTGTGACTCCAGTAGTATTTGGCCGGTCTAGTTGATAAACCGCTATTAAGTCCACCGTGTGAAATTCCACATCACCAGGTCCAACCGGTGAGCACGGAGAAATCGGTGACAGATCCGAGAGGGGCGATATTGTTGTAACGTTGTCTGTAATGTAAACAGCATAATTAGAAAACGGAGCGTGTGGAAGAATTCCTTTTCTGGTTTGGAGTCCGTCTAGCAAACTCTTGGCGATTTCAGTTCTAACTTGATAAGAGCCACTGCTTTACATAGATTTATAAAGATAAGAAAGGTATAGACTGACATTTAGGTATAGACTGAAAGGCATATCATCTTCCTCAGGGCATCCATTCCAGGTAGCTTATTTATGACTCTAATATTATAAAAATAAGATATACATCCTAATTTTTTTGCTGTTGTATACTTACATCCTTTTGGTAATTTTGACGGGAGCGTGATCTCACCCGGAGGATTACTGATGTATAATTACTTATAGCCAGTCAAGTAATAGATTGAATTTGATGCGTATAAATAATAAAGAGTCGTGTTTTTGTATGAAAAATATCATCAATAACAGAAATGATGAAACAAATGTTCAGATGATGATAAAAACCTAAAGTAAGTGTCTGTTTTGAAGCTCTGAAATGAAGTGACGTTAAGTATGTCTGGCTTAAACTGTCGTCTCTAAAAGAACCTAAATCATTTTGGCTATGAATTCAGGTTTATCTGTGAACAAAAATCTGTTTCAAGCAAACATTCTCACGGGATTATGTTTTTATTTTATAGGATAGGGTGACAAACGAGCACACAGTCCACCTGATAGTAATTGGTTGCTGTGGCCTATAGACATCTACATATATTCTCGATTACGAATCAAAATGCAGATGCGTTGTCACCCGTGAGGACTAAGTTGGAATGCCTCGTTTCCAGTAAAAAAGGTCTCCGGTTCTCTACACTCACCATACGAAACACAGCAGCATTAAGCTACTATTTTACGCTGGTATTCTGTGAGAGCATGGTCCTCCCCCGTTGAGCCGACCCATTCGTGCTACAACTATACTACTAAAAATATGTAAACTAAAATTAACGATTGGTATGGAATCAAATAGCAAACTTCAAATTTCGATAGACTGTGGTGCAATGGCTAAGGGACTTCTTTCATGATCGTGAAAAGAACTTCTTAAACCATAATTTATAGGGCAAAGATTATCAATAAGTCACGGTTTATAATAAGACGGAAACAATCTATTTCTAACTTTACCTGTAGCTTTTCCATTACTTAAAGGATATGCTGTAATGAATAATGCTAGCAACTGATACCTGAAATAAAAGAACAAAATGTTTAAAATTGAAAAAGTTGCAATTGTTTAGGATTAAATATTCATTTATTCATTCATTCATCCATTCATTCATTCATTCATTGCAGCTTAACAAAAGTCCACTGCTTAACATACTCAACTCATAGAATCGCCTATAGAATGCTTCATAGGGAGAATGATACGGTTAAATGTAGTTTTTTTATTAAAGTTACAGCCTATATTCGTCAAAATTCTGGGCACAGGCCTCTTCTCATTACTGAGAGGTTTTTGGGGCAAGGTATTTTTTTATAGGATAGGGTGACAAACGAGCACACAGTCCACGCGATGGTAAGTGGGTGCTGTGGCCCATAAATATATAGGTAAATATATCCTCGATCACGAATCAAAACGCAGATGCGTTGTCACCCGTGGGGACTAAGATGGAATGCCTCGTTTTCAGTAAAAACGGTCTCCAGTTCTCTACACTCACCATACGAAACGCAGCAGCATTAAGCTACTATTTTACGCTGGTATTCTGTGAGAGCATGGTTCTTCCCCGGTCGAGTCGCCCACCTCCAACCACTCCACCAACCCATTCGTGTTCCAACTATACTACTAATGTAATTGCAGCATGGCTCTACCACATATAAAAAGAATATTATGTTCGCCGCTCTACGCCAATGCGTGTTGGCGAACTTAACATGACTTCGAAATATTTTTTTCTTATTTCTCAAACATGCAGGTTTCCTCGCGATGTATTCCCTCACCGCCGGGCACGTGGTAAATCAGCACCTAAAATTCCTATTAACAATTTCGTTGGTACCGACGGGGATCGAACCCGAGTTACTGAGCTACCACGGCTCTTTTTTATCATCTAGTTGTTATTAAAAAGTCACTGTAGTCCACCCCTTGGTTTGTTCCCCTTGTCGTCTTCTCCGATAACTACAGGACGATATGGGGTGTTGGATTTTTTTACATCGTCACAACACGACCAGTTCCTTTATACACATACTTATACTTACTTATTAATAAACTTTATGGCGCTACTCCTAGCGAACGACCTTTTGAGCGTTCGATCCTATACATTCCCCGCGCTCTGATTAATTATTACTTACTGTATACTTTCTGTATAAAAACTAATTTCAGTCTTTTGAAAAAAATAATTAGATAAAAATATTTATTGTTGTACTTTATGAGGTGATGCGTGTTATCAATAATTATTTCGCATTTCTGTGGTTTAGTTGTAGGAAGATTCATCAAGTATTTACTTTTAAAAAAAATACATTGAAAGTAGCTTTGATGGAGTCTAGATTATGTAGAAATTGAATAGATTTTTTATAAGATGACATATCTTTTTATTAACAAGTAGATAGCTCCTAAAAACCTCACAAATAACGACTAGCGCGGCATTTTGCTCAAACACGCACCTTAACATACATACAGGTGGATTAACGATCGCAGTTCTAGGCGTTTCGCGAAACAACGCTCGTATATGCAACTTCCGAATGAATTTCGATCAAAAAACAAACATCCATTAAAACAATCTTGGCTGCCTTAAGTAGTCAGCCTCTCGGTATTCTATAGGATGCATGCAGAGAGTTCGCAAATAGCAGTGCAGGAGCTACATGCATTCCTCCCTCCTCTTTCCACTATCGGACAACTAGGCGATCGGCTGGTTTTCACCCATTTGCTGTAGATATACATGTTTAAGCCAAACGCTTTCCTTCGACCTTTCTAATGCGTAAATCAATTTTTTATATAGAATAAGATTAACAAACGAGCACACAGTTCACCTGATGTTAGGTGGATGCTGTGGTCATAAGACAGCTACATTTATCCCCGATTAAGAATTAAAACGCAAATGCGTCACCCCTGAGGACTAAGATGGAATGTCTCATTTCCAGTAAAAAAGGGTCTCCGGATCTATACACTCACCATACGAAACACAGCAGCATTAAGCTGCTATTTCACGCTGATACTCTGTAAGAGCGTGGTCCTACCCCGGTCGAGCCGACCCATTCGTGCTAGAACTATAATATAGCTGTAGCGTGGCTCTACCACGTTTAAATTAATTATAAATCGCGTTAAATAATTTTCCGGCGTCTGTCCTCGCGTTGGATTAATATTGTGACTTCAAGACAAGTGTTAGTAGGTTGTTACGCTAAGACAGTGCCATTTACTATTAATAGTTTCATCACCAACACGTGGGAGTGTGATGATGCGCTGGTTTATAAAAAATAAAAAACCAATCTCGTCATTATCGGCATTTAAAATTGCCCAAACAAGAACAAATCAATCGTCTAGCAAGTCAAACAATGTCCTAGTTTCGCTTTTGCTTTCATCAAATGTCGATACAAGATGGGTCAAATAATTGAACTTACGGGAGACAGTGCTAACGTATGCGGCCCACTTTGAAGACCTTCAAGCACCAATTGGGGAATCAATTCATTTAAAATGTGTGTATAGAAATATATGTTTAGTAGTTAACACCGCAAATGGATTTCGTATAGACCGTTTCTTTAACAGACGGTGCGCTAACGGTACAACCTCCAAGTTTTTAGCTATGACAAGATTTTAACTATGTCTATACTGCGTACATTGCTTGATTTATTGCGCCATACACTTTTTTCATTATTGATGTTAAGTACCTGGTTGACCGTTGACCTGGTTGAAAATTATATTTAGATACAAATTACATACTGATGAAATACGAATAATATTTTTTGATCTTACCGACATAATAGAAAAAACTGAACTGGTTATTTGAATAAAAAATCATGAGTGCAATTAGTTTAATTTAAATTTTCGTGTTTTTTTAAAAATACCAAAAAAGGGCTCGAAATAATAGATTTTCTCAAAAAAGAAGGGAACTTGAAAAAAAATAAAAAAAGTCGGACTGAGGACAGGACTCGAACCAAGGTACTACGATTTCGTAACCGACCGATATCCGATTTGAGCTATTATAATCATTAACGCATTGTTAAAATTTACCTTGTTATATATTGTAGCAGTTTGTAATTTCCTGAAAACACGGATAAAACGACATTTTCTAAAAATCGTTGGAGCCGTTTCCGAGATTCCAATTATATATATACAAGAATTGCTCGTTTAAAGGTATTGGATATGGTCGTCAATCGAATTTGAAGCTCTGTTTAAGGGCGTACATAGAAAAAGTCATAAAGTAAAACATTATATGAAAGTAAAACTATTTATTATTGCTTCTAAGCATTATAATTATAGCATATTTGAAGCTTAGAGTAGCAACATGCATATGAATTTGAAAACAATATAATGACAGATGTCATAGGATCTTGGCTTAGGATGGATAATGTTGCGCGCCTAAGTTGACGTCGGGTACCTGGCACTAGCGCCATCTAGTGTCTTTGTTGTTTCTTTTGCCTGGTGGTGCGGTCGTGCATATACGCTTGCGGTTTGCCCAGCGTGGGAACGGGAGCGGATAATCCGGTCAGCCGGATCGATAGGAACCTCTCCATGCCAACAGTCGTGTCGGCGATGCTGAGAGAGGATTCGGCGTGGAGGGCCGTAGCCACCTTCTGTGAGTCCGTAATGGTCCAGAAGGAGGCTGCTGAGCGGGATCGGAGGACAGATCCCATTCGGAGACGACGCCATCAAGGTGCTCGTCACGGCCCTCTCCTTGAAAATGTCACCTTTTCACCACTACCAGAAACGGAGCCTCTGTGGTTGCAGGCGTTTGAGGTGGGGGCCCGAATGTCTAGTAATGTAACCTCTGAGGAGGACGATGGCTCGGAAGTGGTCCCGAAACATCGCGATAGCACTGCGAGAGTGCTGGGGACAGTAAGTACTGTAAAGTAAAGCGAGTTGCGTTCCGAACGGAGATCCCGGGATCCCTTACACGCTGATGGAGACCACCGTGGGGATTTAGCCGGTAGGAGTCCGGCATAACATTTCGGGTACCCCCGCAGTCAAAGGTGTCCATGGGGTCCAAGGTGTCCCCACGAAAAAAAATAGAAAAAAAAGATAACAATGCGACAACATGGAAGTATACGAAGGGTTAGTTTGTGTTATTTCAAGTAAAATCGAATCCATGCTGAAACACACACACATATTTCATCTTCCTTTATTTTATATCACGTAAAAGTCAACTTCTGAACGCACACATATGCATCCAAGCTCAACGGTTTTCTACACTCATCATATGAAACACAAAAGCATTAAGCTGTTATTTAATGCTGTATTCTATGAGAGCATGGCCTCTCCCCAGTCGAGTCGATCCATTCGTACTGCAACCATAATATAGCTGCAGCGTGATTCTACCACGAAATGTACATGTGTTGTTACCCTTGAGGAATAAGATGTAATATGACTCATTACCATTTAAAAGGGTCTCCAGTTTTCTACACTCACCATACGTAGAACAGCGCCATTAAGCGGCTTATATTCTGGGAGAGCATTGTCTTTTCTAGATCGAGCTGACCCGTTTGTGCCGCAATCATAATACAGTTGAGACATGACTCTACCACGAAATGTAGATGCGTAGCCACCATTGAGGCCTAATATGTAATGCTTCATTTGCAGTAAAAATAGTCTCCGGTTCTCTAGGCTCACCATGCGTAACACAGCAGCATCAATCTGCTATTTTACTCTGGATTTCTGTGAGAGCGTGTTCCTTCCTTGTCGAACTAACCCACTCGTGCTGCAGCTATACAGGATTATTTTGCAATAACCGGCCAAATTTGCAGAGAAGTTTCAGAATAAGTCCAATATGCGACGAAGGTGGAACACCATGGGGTTTTAGTCGGTGCGAGTCCGACATAACCCGTCCTTGCCCCCGCGTGGCGGGTATGCGTTGGCATTTCCCCATGTTAAAAAAAAAAAAAAAAAAAAAGGCAAAAACGTTGTTGCCCATTAATTTTTTTAAACGTTACCCCTACACCAGAAATTTTCCTGTATCAGGTGGGGCAGTACAAACATAAATTGCACAAGGGAAAACATCCAAACCCGGAACAATTATTAATTTGTAGACCATACAAATACTTGTTCCGTGCGGGATTCGAACCCGCGACCCCAGCGCAACCACTCATTTCATATATATATATATATATATATATATATATATATATATATATATATATATAGCCTTATTTACTAGTATTAAAAAAAACTGTACCTATATCAAAGTTTATATATTTTAACTTAAATTTAAAATTTGGCTACTCTTAGAAAAATATCCCTATTTAAAATTGTTGCGTGGCTCTACAAGGTACCTAAATCGTAGACACACCGCTATAATCATTTAAATTTATAAAGATACAATAAACTTTATGCGAAAACAAACGATGATTAAAAGCCACGTTTTATTATACCAGTATGATGCTTAAAAAATAATGCGGGATTTATGCCTTTTTAAACTCAAGTAAGTTTATGACCAATATTGTTATTGAACCAAATTACCACTTGTAAAGCGAACCAATTTCGACCGCGAAACGAGACCGAAGAGAATAATTTTTGGCATCTGAGTGATGAAAAATTTATTGTCTGCTTGAATGACACTATGTCATTCATGAAATACGAACTTTTCTTATTTACGGAAATCGAAAGTAAGCTTGTGAACATTAGTGCATCCACGGGTTGTTGTCAGAAGGATCAAGCGCCTGAAAAGGGATAGGTCAATAAAGCCTAAGCCTAAACAATGAAAGTAATTTCAAATTTATGTATCGAACCGTATTTCAGACAATTGTTTTCGCAATGTTTCTTTACTGAGATATTATAATAGGTTTTTCTGATATGTTTATTTGAAAGACATAATTACTCATAATGATTTCTTAAATTTACGCGAACACTACACATTGAATAAAACTAAATTTACTTATTTTTAATAGGAGTGTACAAGTTAGATAGTGAATGTGGTCTCTCTTAGATAGGTCAAACAAAAAGATCCATAAAAACCCGCGTGAAAGAACATATAGCTGCCGTGAAGCACCGACGCTCCGGGAAGTCTGCAGTCTGCGAACATGTTCAAGATCGTCCCCACCATTACATTCGATTTGATAAACCACAAATTCTCGCAAAAGAACACCGATTCCTACCAAGGATGATACGCGAGGCTATTGAAATTAAAAAACATCCAAATTTCAATAGAGAAGATGGTTGGGTGCTACCATCTGCTTGGGATCCTATAATTAACAAAATTAAACCCAAACCTAAGCATACCACTGCAAGACTTCATGATACTATAAGCTCGTTTTGTGTAAATTGGACCAAAAATTAATATTCAAAAACTGAAGGTAGCCGGACCAACTATGACATCGGGACGTCAAACATCTCAGTTCCCCCCGTGGCCATGGGTGCTGTAAAGCACCCGAAACGTCGGGAATTAAAAATAAGTAAAAGTAATGAAATAAACGCGATAAAATCCGTAAATTTAGTTTTATTCAAGACATAATTACTCATTAATTAAACTAAACATAAAAACATAAACGCCTGGGGTAAGCAGAGACTAGGAACTTCCATATGACACGATGCTGCAAACATGCTCGTCAGTTAAGTGTGCTCTTGACTTTTTTGTCATTTTTGACACAATTTGATCAATAAAGTTTCATCTAAAGCGGCCCTTGCCGACTAAGCCAATGCCAAAATAAGAAAAGCAAATTAATGCTGTGGAGATGTACGCCGATAATTTGCTTTGTCACTCTTTCCCCATTTATTCTTTCTGTGTACCCAAACCGACTAATAATTTCTTTCTTAATCTTTAATTTATCTATTTAGGCAACTTTGTGCGCAAGTCAAGACCCGCGGAATGATTCATTATACTGTTAATATATATAATATATATTGTTATAAAATGTGCGTCCACTTGACCTCCAATGTCACCAGTATGTAAATAAAAAAAATAAACCATTCTAGCGTCTGAAAAATGGTAGTACATCTGTTGTGAACGCCGAACTCATTCCGCACAGCGGGATGGTAAAAAGGATAACCAGAGGATTAGTACGATGCTTAACAACCTGCCAGCCCAATAAATATGGATAAATCTTACAAAAAACATGGTTTTTAACATAGTCGCAGCTCCAATGAATCTGCTTGACCTGGGAAAGACCACGCTCTTAAAAGAGCGAAAAATAGCATCTTCATACTTTTTAAGGTGAAGAAGAGATAATTTTAAAGTTAATCTATGGTAACCGCGGTTAACTATGACATCTGGACGTTGAATATCTCAGTCCCCCCGTGACCATGGGTGCTGTAAAGTGCTCGAAACGTCTGGTATATAAAAAAATTAATATACGCGATAAAATCCGTAAAAACTTGTATTATTTAAATCTTCATGCTGCTCTGTTTCATATAAGTATAGAAAACCGGAGAACGTTTTTACTGTAAACGAGATATTCCATCTTAGTCCTCAGGGCTGACAACGTATCTGCATTTTAATTCTTAATCGATGATAGGCGTACGTCTATGGACAAGAATAGTCATTCACCATGAAGATTTCGTGCTTGTTTGTTACCCTTACTTCTTCGTTACTTCTATATAAGAAATGAAAATATGAACATTCTCAAGAATCTTTAGAATAACCAACGATTAAGAACGACTGTAATAGTAGAAAAACGGAGTTCTAATGACTGACATTTTATTTTCCTATCCATTCTTCATATTCGCAAACCTATAGAGCTTAAAAATACATGAAACAAAAAATTCTTATTCATTACGTTGAGTAATATTAAAAAGGTTTGCTATCTTTCATTTTAGGAAAACATGTTTAAATCCTAGGATAAAAATCACGTCATATTTTTATTATATGAAATCCTTTTTATAATTAAGTATATTAGATAATGCTGTTAACAAAAAAAATTACACAACATTAAATCCGATTATATTAAGCTTAAGCTAAAAAAAGTAAACAGTGGATAGTAAATAATTTAACTAAAATATTTTATAATAAATATATATAACTTTCCTAAAACAACTTACCAATAAGACGTCATAGTAGCAAAATAATATTAAAAACTGAATTAATATAAACGCACATACTTCGAAGTGTTCATTGCAATACTAAGACGTGAAGATGACACTTTCAACACTGTCTGACTGGTCGGCAGGAGCCTGGATGGCTAATCAACGGACCCGAGATTTATCTGGTCCAACCCACAACGATATATATCAATTAATTCGAAGTATGACAGCATTTTAATAGTCAACTATAATAGACATAGCAGCGGTATACTGATATGCGTGAGTAACATGAATGCAAAGTGATTAAGACTATGGTTATACTAGTAGCTTAAAATTAATACGCTGCACACTAAAAACCGAAATATGGAAAATTTGTGTTCATATTTTTTATAAAACATCTGATAAACAAACTTACAGTCGTTCTACTTAATGGTACAACTACTAAGAAACTTACAGATGCGTTATGATCTCTGAGGGCTAAATATATTTGTCGTGAGATAGCCTCGCTGCAGATATATTATGGTTGCAGAACGAAAGGGTCGGCTCGACCGGTGATGGATCAAACCCTTGCAGAAAACCGGTGTGTAGTGTGTAATAGTAGTTTAATGCTGTTTATTTCGTATGGTGATTGTAAAGAACCGGAGAAGCTTTTTGCCTAAAAGAAACTACTTATGTTATTTTAAGGAATACGTATGTAGTGTAAAGGATAAATGTGCAATTTTTTGATGATCTAAGATGTCAACCTTGAACAATCGATTTGTCAATATTGATTATCAATCTTCTCTGACTAATATAAAGTTATCTGTGGTCAATTTTGTCAAATTATAAAATATATTCAATTTACGTTCATATTTGATGTATAAGTTTAGTAATTTAGCATAGGTCTATTGATGCTTACGTCAAATGTTGTTCTAAAACTTGCGTAAATAATAGCAAACTCTTCATCAAAGCTTCCAGCTTGCGTTAAACGTTTTAACTGTTGTAAATCTCCAAGAAGACAAATTAGAAATAAAACATAAACTACATTTTATTTTTTTATCAGTTATGTATTTATGTTTTTTTTTTATTCAGTCTGCAGATACGCTGCATAAATCATAAGGACTTGAATATACATAAAATAAATGTTCTCTACATTGTGTCAACTACAGCACACACAGCTAATTATTTTACATTGCCAAGGGTATATTACCAATAAAATAGCTATAGAAACTGTGTTCCTAGTGTGAATGAATTATTTATGACATACAAACCGTTGCATGAGCCGCACTCAATGAATTTCATGGAATTACGAGTAGATCGGATAAAATACTGGAATGTTTATTAATTTACCAGTGGACTTCGGTCTCTTCTGCAGTTTAAAGTCAAACAATATATTTTTTTTATATAACTTATGTGACAAACGATCTTACAATACACCTGATGGTCAATGGCTACCGTCATGCTACCGTCCATGGAGACCTGCAGCCAACTTTAAACAAAGATGTGGCATCTTCAGGTGCGTTGTCACCTTTAAAGAATTTTTTTATAGGATAAGGGTGACAAACGAGTACACAGTCCACCAGATGGTAAGTGGTTGCTGTGGCCCATAGACATCTACATCTATCCTCGACTACAAATCAAAATGTACATGCGTTGTCACCCGTGAGGACTAAGATGGAATGTCTCGTTTCCAGTAAAATGGATCTCCGGTTCTCTAAACGCACCATACGAAACACAGCAGCATGGAGCCACTTATTGACGCTGGTATTCTGTGAGAGCGTGGTCCTTTCCCGGCCGAGCCGACCCATTCGTGCTACAACTATATATAGATATATAGCTGTAGCATGGCTCTACCACGTAAAAACAGATGCTTGCAGCTTGTAATTACGCTGTTTCTCTATAACATAAGGACTGCCAGCACTGCTATTTGGTAACAGAAAAATGTAAGAGAACAGTTACTACCCAGACGGACTCTTGGGTAAAAGAGGAGTTCCTACCACCTTTTTTACAGAAGAGAGGGAACACGAGCATACGGTTCACCTGATGTTAACCTTAGATCTTTTCTTGAAGGTACCGAGCAAATTAATACAGTTTCACTTTTAAATAAGATCATTATATTGTTTGAATCAATCAATCAAATTTTACATCTAGAGTTAACGTTTAAACGATATCATAATAATGATTTCTTAAATTTACGCTAACACTACACATTAAATAAAACTAAATTTACGGATTTTATTGCGTTTATTTCACTACTTTTACTTATTATATTATATATAGGATACATTATATAGGATGATACGCGAGGCTATTGAAATTAAAAAACATCCAAATTTCAATAGAGAAGATGGATGGGTGCTGCCACCTGCTTGGGATCCTATAATTAACAAAATTAAACCCAAACCTAAGCATACCACTGCAAGACTTCATGATACTATAAGCTCGTTTTGCGTAAATCGGACCAAAAATTAATATTCAAAAACTGAAGGTAGCCGGACTAACTATGACATTGGGACGTCAAACATCTCAATCCCCCCCCCCCTCTCCGTGACCATGGTTGCTGTAAAGCACCCGAAACGTCGGGAATTAAAAATAAGTAAAAGTAGTGAAATAAACGCGATAAAATCCGTAAATTTAGTTTTATTCAACGATATCATAATATTTTTTGGACCAATCTTTCCTTTTCCTCATCGACCCGTACAGCCCACTGCTGGATGTTAGCCTCTACCGTGGGTATTCAATGGAAGTACTAGAAGTCTCGCACACTTAAAGCTACTCCCCGTCGTCGATCGGAATATTTTACGTCTAGAATTAACGAGGCAATTATACGTATACATATATATTATTTCTATCGGAAGCCATGTGGCAGATCGGTGCGAGTCCGAATAAGCGTCCGCTGTAAACTTAACAGTGTACACGAAGCCCAGGGTCGATCCACACTGGCACGAATAAAGTAGTTTATTGCAACTTTAAGTGCTGATTTACCATGTGCTCTTTAAGTGCTGGTACTGCAACTTTAAGTGCTGATTTACCATGTGCTCAGCGATAAAAATCAGCAAGGGGATATCGATGGTAAATAGCTCTAGAATAAGAATCAAAATGCAGATGCGTTGTCCGCCCTAAGGACTAATATGGAATGCCTAGTTTTCAGTGAAAAGGATCTCCGATTCTCTGCACTCCCATATCTATAGTACACCATACGAAACACACCAGCATTAAGCTGCTATTATACGCTATATATTTTATATTATGTAATGCTTCAAAATCAGAACCTTTAATTTTTTTTAATTTAAATAAAAAGTAACCTAATATCATAATGCATGATACACAATTCAACAGCCATTAAAAATAATGCCATCACATTTTTTCAGTTCAGGCTTATTTAAATCTATTTACTCATACATTATTGCCTTTAAAAGTCACTGCAGAACAAAAGTCTCCCACCCCCCAAATTGCGGTTAAATCTGTTATAAATGTCACAATCGACCACCGCACCGGTTTCAAAAGTAAGATCACAGAGAATAACTAGAAAGACTCTGAAATCTACTTTTTAGAAAAAGTGATAATTACTTAATACATTTCTATTAAACTAGCTGTTCCCCACGACTTCGTCCGCGTGAAATTCATTTCGATTGAATTACATAGATTTGGTTTTTTTTGCGCAAGACCCCAATTCTTTTTCTAAAATAAAAGTAGACTAAGTTACTCCTTATAACATCAGCTATCTGCTTTATGCCTCTCCCGGATGAACGACAATCTCCCCCCGCGCCCCAGAAAGTGCCCTAAAATGCGGTTTTTTCCAGTTTTAAAGACAACTGTACACGGTACATGAAAAGTGTGGGGGTGCGAAACAATCCTTGATGAATTTTTTACTACTTTTACTACTGATGGAACCCTTGGAAATCCGCTTTGTTCATTTCAATCGGTCGAGCCGTTCAAAAGTAATAAGAGGTTTACACACACATACACACACACACACACACGCACGCACGCACGCATGCACGCACCCACGCACGCACGCACGCACGCGCACACACACACGCACGCACGCTCGCACGCACGCAAGCACGCACGCACGCGCACACACACACACGCACACGCACACGCACACACGCACGGACGCATGCACGCACGCACTATTAAATTTATTGGGTCAGAGCTTCCCTGTAAACGATATTTGAAGTTGTTTTATTTTGTGGCAGCAAAATAAATTGATTTTCAGGAGCTCCGACCCGCGACCGGCCAACATAAGGCCATAGACCATTAGTAAAACATACATTTCGAAGGTCAATCCCTACTGATTCTAAGCCTTGGCACTTATTAATAGTTAACGCGAAAGATGTTTTTACCGGAAATTGAAGGCGTTTTAATGGGATTGGCAGCTCAGTTGGTATCATCGGTATCCTCGGTATATGATTGAGTTGACCAGCTGGATGGGCCGGTGAATTTTACTTTCCGTGAAGTTAAATTGTACTTCAATTCCTTAATAAGTAGCTTTTTTTACATGAGTAAATGCCTACGCATACCCTCCTTGCGGAGGCAAGGACGGGTTATGTCGGACTCGCACAAATAAAACCCCTTGGTGTTCCACCTTCGTCGCATATTGGCAGAGCCACGGGAACGCTTTCGCACACATCCGTGACCCCACCAGCGCCGGCCGCTCCATGGCGGTATCTCCTCGGGAGAGGATTACTCCTCCCCGTTCTCCTTCCCAGGTGAAGCGCACCAGAACACATGGCGCACCTTCCTCCACGGCCTCCAACTAAACCTACGTAATGGAAGCCTCGTGCCTAATGCGCGAAGGCTATGGAGCCAGGAAAAACGAGCACTCAGAAGCACTAGCCTTCCCGAACCCAGCGGTGGATCTGGTCTATGGCTCCTTCACCAACCAAGATTCGGCTGCGGAGGGTAGGGACAGCGGCACCTTGCAATACCGACACTCCTCTCCACCCGCAGCCCCACTACCACCACATCAACGTGCGGCCCCGTTTGAGTCGCGGAGGATAGGGCGAGTAGCACATCGCCATACCAACACTCCTCTTCCTCCGCGACT